CAAACAGTCCAGAAAATACTACCAGAATATTTGAAATTTATCAAAGATGACAGCAGGTCCCTATCAGACAAAGGTGCCTTATACATCCTTGCCACTTTGCTAAGCCAGCCTGCCCATAGTTTACATTTCCTGGTATCTTTTGATTCTCATCTATCATACCCAATCTCATCTCATTTATATTCATTCGTGTACTAATCTTCTCGTTGTTGTTAGGTTAAGTATTAAAAAAACCCCACTCTGGCAGGTTCTTCTTGATAAGAAGCCGCCATCTTTAGCAACAGATTTCATTTATCTGAATCATAGCCATGTACTATTACACAATGCATAGCGATCAATAATACTTAGTGCTTCAGACCCTTCCTCATGCTTTATCCATTTTTACAATTTATTAGCTTATGATACTGAACAACCCCCTAGGATACTCTTAATTCCTTCTGTTTCTTCTCTAAATGTCTTCAAATGTCCCGTTATTTCTAGCAATTATTTATAGACATCTATTAGTCCTGGTTTGGGGCTGCTTTGCTGGAATACAATGTATTCAGGCTATTGTGCATCATGGAAAACAAGTTACTTTTTTTACATGCAATTCTCAAGCAATTCTCCCAACCACTGTAGTTAAGATTTTACCCCACTGGGCTTGCAGCATATTGTTACAAGTCACATAATGTCAAATGTGTTTAAAATAATTTCTGCTAAATGCCTCCAGCAAGTGAAATGAGATGGCTGCCAAGTTCATTTAACCAGCCTTCACTTTCCAACCTTTAAAGAGTGAGATGTCCAAATGTTTCTGCCTGCCTTTGTAATCCAGAAGATTATAGTCACTCTCATTAATGTACTGAGGTAAGCCTGCAGCAGGACACAGATCCTAAATCCTAGAGTCGGCAGCTAGATAGACCAGAGATCTATAGGAAATAACCTGGATCATAACTTAGAAAATAAAAACGTGAGAAATCAGCAGTAAACACAAAACCCATTACAGTCAGCAGAAAAATTACTATAGGTTTCACTGAATCAGGCTCAACTATTATTTTCCTGGCATATATATGCTGACTGCAGTCTCATACAGAAATCAGAGACTTCATAAATTAAAAAAAAGCAAATTATTTCTCTACTCACTTTTTTTTTTTTTAAATAGCCTCCGAGTTTACAGTTTGTTAAGGAAAAGACTTCCTATTAGAAATCTGAAGACATCTGCGGTCATTTTAAGCATTCATTTGAGTGTACTTTTGTTAGAATTTGACTCTAGGCTATTTTCAGGAATACAACAATTTTCCATGAAAACAGCTAATTAACTGTAACTAACTATATAATGAAATCTCTCCAGTAAAGATATATCAGGAAAGAAGTACGTTACTATATCACCTACCATTCACGTATTTTTATCATTAATTATAAGCTGTTGCAAGCCCTATTTTGAAATTCACATGAATACTTATTCATGTAATGCTTATACAAGTTTATATTCTCAGTAATTATGCCTAGGTATTTGCCTCTCTATTATGATGACACACAAATTGTAGATGTCCAAATAACCAGCGGTGGTTACTGTGAGTTCAAAAATCACACACACCAAAAAAAAAAAGGTAAATGGCCTTAGTAACACAGACACCATTAAAACACCACCAAACCACATCTTCACTGGGACTATGTGCAAAAGATTCATTATTCATAGACAGATCAAATAAATAAAAAAATACACACTATCTCCATGTTTTCTTTTGTTTTCTTCTACTTCCACTATCTCCAGTGGCAGAGAAAGGAAAGTCCTTAAAAGGGGCTTGGCACAACGTTTCACTCTAATCTTGTAAGTTCTGTGTAATTAAGGAACTAAACCTTCAAATCATTAAGGGAAAAAGTCATTTTGGAAGACAGTATAAAGCTGGAACATGTGACTTACAGAAACATCAAGAAAGTCCAATATAAACATTCACTTGAATATTAAGATCTATACATTTAAATTTGTGATGCTCAGTCTCTCAAGATTTATTTATTAGTAAATCCTCTGATATTTCTGATGAATAATAGACAACATGTAAATGCAATTTTAGAGTCTATAAGTGGCAAGTCACTAGAAAATTCCATTGGGTTTATAAATGCTAAAATTATGGCCCCACAGGAAAACACACAGGAACCCAGCAATGAATAACTTAAAGCAAGATAATAATATCATCTGAATCCCTTAACAAGGCCTCAAAAGCCTTCAGGCAGGTTTCACAGTCCAGTATATCTATATCTTTTTCTACATAATTAAACATCTCTCATTACTGGAATCCATGATATTTACACTTTGACCCAGTGATCATGAGGACAGATCCAAGATACCTATACAAGTATTATTTATTTTTCAGCAGAAGACTGTTTTAGTGAATGGGTTTGATTCAGAGCTTGAATGAGGATGAAGGTGGCTGTGATAGGAAATAACGCCATGCATATAACGCAAAGCCTTTCTTTTGGAACTTCAGAAAAGAAATACAATACAATTTGAGTACAATAAGAAGGAATCAGGAATCATACATGCAAACACACGCACATAAAGATTTCTATCAAACTGTGCAGTGCAGCTATTGATTGGGAGCAGCAAGACAGCAGAACCTGATGAATAATTTGAAGATATATGCCGTAAAATCTCAGGATGGAAAACAGATGTAAACAACATGAAATCTTGTTTGACTGGATGCCATCTGCATAGAGAACTATGACAGATTCTAGCTAACACTGATTCTACAGGTTCACTTTTGCACAAAATATTTTTGCAAGTATTGGTGTTCTTGACACCAGGAAAATGAGGTTATGAAGTTGGGATGAATACCTGGGGGATACAAGGGAAAGGATAAGAAAAAGATGAAGTTGAGAAAAATTATTCAAACTTTGATTAACAGGTAAGACGATCAAAATGCCAAACACTACATGGATATAAATACCAAAGTGCAGCAAGAGAAAATGGATGAAAACAATTACAGAAGAATTCACTGGAAGTTGGACTGAGAAACATGTCTACTGAATCAGAAGCATAAACTTCCATATAAGGAGTGAAAAAAAGGAAAAGTAAGTATAGTTTATAGATGAGCAAAAATAGGGAACTGCCATTTAAAAAAAAAAAGTAATCCTTGGCAGAGAAAAGAAATTTGATATAGAGTTTGAGCAAAGAAAGAACATACAGTAGGTAACAAATATTGTCCCGTAGGCTAGAATTAACGTTCAAAGCTAAACATTAGACTAAATATTGTTTGGGAGGGCCACGTGGTACATCAGAGGTGTAAACTTCTGCTTTGATAGAAAGAGATGAGGCCACTGAAAGACTTACAGGAACTCAGAGCTCATATACTACCGGCAGGATTAAAGCTTAAACACTGCAGAGTTTGAACTGTTTGGCACCACTTTCTTTTACTGAAATACTGGATTTAGAGACTGTGAATCTACTAAAACTACACCATTCTCCTACTCAGTGGTCTAGGAATGTGTACCTAAATGGGTATAACAAAAAGATTTCAGTTAAATGAAAATGTAATAAAGTTGGTCCCTTGATCCAATTAGATAGTCACACTCTGCTACATACTATTGACTGATTGTGCAAAGGAATCTCTGACATTTGTTAGCAATATATTCTCAGTTAATCATGAAACTCTTGTGACAACACAGGGGGAATGGGAAGTGGGAATGTACTACAGACCTACGACAGAAAAGAGTTAGTGTTCCACTTGCAGCCATACTCACAAATATGAAACATATTTCTTGTTTGAATGAAAAGATTGTCAATTGGTTCATTACATGTTCTCACAAGGTAAATGAACATTTGCCTGAACACTTAACCTGTTGAAGGATCAGCTCATAATGCAGTTCATACCTACAGGTTTTCAAACCATTGAAACTCTATGTAAAAATGCAAAACTCACTAAAAAGGTTACATGATTTCTAGAAACTACAAAAACTTCTAGTGCTATCAATAAGCAATACAAGGAAGTGAAAGGTAATGCCTATCCTTGTTCAGAGTAAACAAAGCACATGCCACCACATTAAGCTTCAATGAATATTAAATATTCATAAAAAGATAATATACTTGATTCCACCTTTCATTTCAAAATGTTTCAGTATGTCTGTACAGCCAAATCCTTATGTCTGTACTCACAGCTTCAACTGTGTAAGGAGGATAAGGCCTTCTGTTCAATGATATATAGAGACACATACAAATATAAACCCCACAACTCTGATCTCAGTTAAATCACTGTCACTCCACTGATTTTAATGGGAGCTTCTACTTTTTTAGGTTTCTTTCACCAAGATCCAGGTATACTCCATAACATAATCTGATCCTATAATTACTGCTTACAAATGCAAGGGAGATACCTCTCGAGTGGAATGCAAGAGCTGTTTAATAACAACAAAATTGCACAACAGCTGAGGACAACAGTTAAAAAAAACCTAATTCAGCCTTCATCTGCAGGCAGAGTTCAGCTAGGATGGTTCTTTGCACAGAAATTGAAATTTGGAATAATATTCTTATAGAATTTCATCATCAGATAATATCAACACTGAATTCAATCAGAACATCTTCATTACTAACTTTAATCCTCAAAGTGTGTTTTTATTTTGTTGCAACTGTTGTACCTGCATTTACACAAGATTTACCTTAGAGAGAGAAGGGTGGAATTCCCAGTCTAAACAGAAATTGTACATGTTATTTGGTCTGAATCCTAATCATAATGTAGGGGTTGTCTTCATTAATTCCAGATATGAATAAAAAAGTGTAAACCTAATTGGAAGCTTTCATTCCAAACTATGTTGTTTTACTTTTTTTTTTTTCTTTTTTTACTGCAGAAACTTGACTGTTTTTTAAAAATCATTACCTGCTGTCCTAAAGGGCTACTCCCACCTCTTTATGCAGGGGAAGGATTCAGTGAGCCACAAAATCAGCAAGAAAATTTATACAATATAGAAGTGCATTTATCAACACAGAATCTGTTCAGGTGTTATTTATGGAGATATGATTGGCATGGACTTACCTGTAGGGGATCCCTCCATGACATGACCAACATAGGGTCCTTCTTTGAACATTGGCCTATTGTCATTTTGATCAATAACAGAAATATCTAGGCGGACTGGACCATCAATGGTTTTGCCACTTATATCTGTAACTTCAACTTCAAGCTGTATGAACAAAAAGAGGGGAGTAAATTCATTAGTTCACTATCACAGTAAGCAAAAAGTAAGAAAAATATAGCTCAGATCAGTGCTGCTGTAACCAGACCCTACCAAGGATACCACTTGCAGCCCATTCTTTTGGGCTAGGCTCAGAGCAGATTTTAAATCTAAGCAAAAGAGATAGACAGATGTACATTCAAATCAAGGTACCCCTTGGCAGCTTGAAAACACCATATTCCCTGAAGATGGAAAGGTATGACTAGGGTATTAAAAAAAAAAAACAACCTCCTGTAAATTTGATGATAATCATGTGAAGATTTGGTTAGAATTTGTTTCTTTAATTATTTCAAGTACATTTAGAGTGGATGCATATAGAACTATCACAGTATAATTCACATGTCTCCTAATGCTTAGTTAAAAGCCTTTTTCTTAAAAAAAAAAGGCAAGTATGCATTAGACAAATACATTTTCTCTATTATGATGGCATGAAGTATTATATTAGGTAATTTTGACAGTTCTCCAGCTTTTCTAATAAGGTATGGAAAGACAGAACAACATATGCAGTCTTATATAAGCAGATATATATACACACGCACACTCTCATCCCAATGTATGAAATCACCTGTTGAACATAAAGCTGACATATGCAGCTGAAGATATGTTTGGACTTCCTTTACTTCCAAAATCTGGAAAGAAAGATCGTATCATATAGCTCCACCCTCCAATCCAGTTACAAAGGAAAGTAACGACCTGCTACCAAAACTTAGTCATTAGGGCAAAACATGCCAAATCTTCTTACATAACAGAAAAAGTCAATTTAGATTGCAATTGCATGCTATAACTGCAATTGTCTCTCCTCACCGCGACGTCAGTAAAACACAGCAATAAACTCATCAGAGGCACAGCTATCATTTTCATGTACCCTACCTGTCCCTGGACTCAAGTCTTTAATGGATTTAAGCCAGCCAGAAAGTGAACCTGAGCACAGACATTAATATCACCCTCTTCCAGTCTTTTCCTGAGAACGTGTTAGCAGCAGGGGCTGGAAGTCTCTAAGCATTTTGTTTATTCTGTTAATTTATTCTTCATTGCCATGTCTTATACCTGTAAGTTATTTATAAGCTAGTGATAAATCCTACTGGGAAAGAATTAGGTCAGAATTCTAAATCCTTATTAAAATGGATGGCTTATTATCACATCTCTCTGTATTTTGTTATGCATTCCACTTTTATAGTTCAGTGTGCTGGGTGTGAGTAGGAGTATTTGTTATGAGTAGACTATCTCTCACATACACTATTTGTAAATAGTGTCACAGTCCATTTTAACATCTACTCACTGCTTATCCTGACTTCTCTAGCAATTGTTCTTGCAAGCCTTTTCCAAGCCTTATTTATTACTATATATCTTAGCAGCTTAAAAGCAAACAAACACTCTGACATGAAGACAACTGATTCATGTCGCATTGGCACAGCTGAATCTTTATGGGGGCACACATCCCTTCAATTTCCAGGGCTTGTTTCTACTCTAAAGTCAATGTAGTAATCTTAGGATTGCATATGATATAAGGGGGACTAGGAAGGAAAATGCAGTCTTATTACTGAACTACATTAAAGCTAGATCCATTTTTAGATACAGTTGGAAACTGCTGACAAAAAGATTTATCTTAGTAAATGTTGACTCATTGGAACTATATTAATTGCTTTGGGAAATGGAAGAATAGCAATATTTCTCTGTGAAATTCCAGCAAATTCATTTTCAAATTCAAGATAATTTGCTCTTAATCTATCTCTCAATATTAAGTGACTATACTGCTCACTGGAAAGAACAAAGGCTTTGCTAAATTTAAAAAACTACTTCAGCTGTTTTATCAAAATTGTAAGTCATCTAAAGCAAAGGCCAATCTAACGTTAGGGGTTTTTTTCCCAGACTTTCACAGATTAAGGAAGAGAATAGAAGATTCTTATTAATGACTGAAATAGATTTGCTTTATCATTGCCAAATCCACTGTGTCTGACACCAACTGTCCAAAAAAGTTGGCATAACAGGTCTGTAGGAATGGTTACATAATCTCTGTTTCATTTTATTGAGATGACAGAGGACTTCATTTTATTAGTCTTTGTACAATAATTTCCAGGCTTGTCCTAAGTGTTATGGGTTAACTCACCAGCTGCTTTTAAACCCACTCTTCAGAATAAAAGCCTGGAAGCACTGAAACTATGACCATCTATCTTTACACAATTAGTTTGTGAAAGAAGCTGCCTTATATCTTCTATTGCCCAACCAAAAACGCCCCACACAAAAAAAAATAAAAATCCATAAAGCCCCACTGTCCACAAAACAAAAAAATAACAAAGTGAAGCAGCAAAAAAAACAGCAACAAAAAAAATAGTGTTACTTATAAAGCCCCACTGTCCACAAAACAAAAAAATAACAAAGTGAAGCAGCAAAAAAAACAGCAACAAAAAAAAAATATTGTTACTTAAAAAAACCCAACACATGCAAGGAAAAAAAGCCTTCAAGTAAAAGACAATATTAGCACAAAAAACCCAAATTACTATGAACAGGCTGTAAATAACATCAGGTGGAAAATTAGATTGTGCCTAACTATCAGAAGAGTGAGATTTCAGTCTTTCAATATAGAAGGCAGGAAAGCCCATCTAGTTTAATGTAAAACTTGACTGATATATGAAAGATACTGCATTCATTCTTTTGATAGCAAGAGATTGTAATTGAACATTCAGAAAGTATCTAAGTTTCCACTTGATTATAACAACATAGCTCTAAGGAAAAGTGGTAAGCATAGAGACAGATTTGGGCAACTTGACAAAAAAAAACCCACAAAACCCACACACACCAAAAAAAACCCCCAAAAAACCCAAAAACAAACAAACAAAAAACCTGCAGAACTCTGTAGCTATTTATTATGTGAAAACCCGATAAGATTGACTATGCTTTCAATGTTCCAACTTAAAAGTTATGGAATTATGTTCATACCTTCATAATGATGAAGGTATGTTCATTATAATTTAACCAATCATATTGTCAGGAATACTTGAGGCTAAATCCCAATTTCCATTTTGACAAAAGTATACGTGCAAACTACAAAGGATAATCAAGGGTTTATGAGAATTCTTACACCTCACAACACATGTCTCCATGATAGGATACAAAGCAGAGTTTGGATATTGCTTCTAATATAGCTGAGAAACACTGATAAAATTAAGCACACCAATAAAACAGGGAAAAGCAATATAAAACCGAAAACTGCAGGCAGTAACAGATTTTAGGCTGTTTGTCTAGACAAACTCTTATTCAATACTCTCTGTTCTCAAAAGGGACTTCTTGACTTCCCATCTAATTTCCCTCACTATATCTGAAGATCTTTCTCATCACCCCAAATATAAGGATTTTACCAGAAGTTTAGTAAACTTATTCAAAGCTGCGCAAACCTGTTTTAAGCACTATGCTTTATTTTATATAGTCTTGATTCTTTTCCACTCTGCAGTCAGCAACAACATTTACAGGAAGAGATAACCAGTCTCATTCTTACCATTACTTAAAGTAATTTCAAAGGTTTCTCTTCACAGAACGGTTGTTTCCATTCATTTATTGCTTTTGGTGAAATGATTCTGGATAGCCACCTTCCTTCTCTGCATATAAATGTCTATTTTTACTTTGCAACCAGCCAGCCAATGGCCCACACAAAATTAGATCATAAATTTGAAGTTTTTCATAAGTAAACCTGGAATATCTTTTAGCACTTAATTATCTTCAAAGTCTAATATAGGTTCTTTAGTCATTAACTGCCTTCTAATTTTAATTTCCAACTCATTGCTGATAAGACTGTTTCTCACAGAATTCTTCCAGTTGTTTCAACAGTTGTTTTTCCCCCACATATTCCTCGTACCCAGCTTCGCCCAGCAGTGGTGTTGGTAGCAGGAGCTGCTGTGAGGCGAGGTCACAGCTGCCCCAAGCCGGTTCCAGCCGGTTCTGGCCAGCTGCAACCGGTTCCAGCCAGCTCCAGCTGGCTCCAGACAGTTCTGGGCAGCTCTGCCCCCACAGCACACAGCTGAGCCCTCAGCCACGCTGGTGGTGCCTCTGGGAAAGCGTGTGAGAGAAAGGGCAGAGCGCTGCACGGGGGTTTTGCCTTCATCTCAACCCATGAGCTTTTCATCCCAGTGCTCCAACCCACCACAGCAGGAAAAGCAGACGAGTAAAACCTGACCAAGACCAAGGAAAGGTGCATCATCCTGGAATTGGAGTACGCTCAGAAATCTGAAAGGAGCACTGCGTCATTACAAAAGACTGCTATGCCACTATCTGCCCCCATACCAGTTATTTTAGAATCATAGAATGCTTTGGGTTGGAAGGGACCTCAAAGCCCATCTAGTTCCAACCCCTCTGCCATGGGCAGGGACACCCTCCACCAGACCAGGCTGCCCAAAGCCCCATCCAACCTGGCCTTGAACACTGCCAGGGATGGGGCAGCCACAGCTTCTCTGGGCAGCCTGTGCCAGTTTGAGGTTATCTGTATAGATACAGACCACTGCTCGTTTTATTTATTCCTAGCTTGATTAGAATTATTATTGACAATACTTGTTAGGTTTATTTATCGTCAATTCTTAAGTGTGCATTGACAGTAAAGAAAGATGATGGACTTACAGATCTTTCATGTAGACAATTTCCTGGTAAGAAAGAAACATTTGACCATCTCAGGGTCATAAAAAGCAGTAAAGAAATTCTCTTTATAGTGAAAGGTTTTAGTAAAAATTTGATGCAATTACCTAAAACAACTCAGAGAAGGCAATAATTCAGACACATAGAAATTAATTGCAATTACATTTTCCTACTATTAAGAATATGAATAAAATATTAGCTACTTTTTATATGGCACAAGAATAGATGAAGGGAGAGGATATAAAACCAAAATACATTGCTTCTAATAGGTACGGATAATTTTATCTCAAACTACTTGATGACAGGGTATCGATTACCTTAGCAAGGTT